TCTCTCTCTCTCTCTCTCTCTCTCTCTCTCTCTCTCTCTCTCTCTCTCTCTCTCTCTCTCTCTCTCTCTCTCCCTCCTTTTCCGTTCGTTCCTTGTCTATTACCTCCCTTCCGCCTGTATCAATGCCATCTAAGAACTTGTGCCCTCCATTTCCCGGGCGGATCTTCCCCCCATCCTCTTTCCCTACCAATCCGGTTCTCCCGTCTTCTTCTCTCCTCGTCCTTTGTCGGTCACCTGTCTCTTCACGTCTTTCTCCCCTACCCACTCGCCTTTGTTCCTTTTTTCCTTTTTTCCTTTTCCATTCCCTCCCTTCCGCCTGTCCCGATGCCCGGGCCTTCTTTGAACTTGTGCCCTACCCCACCTCTGCGCTTTTCCCATCCTCTTCTCTCCTTGTCCTGTGTCGGTCACCTCTCTCTTCACGTCTTTCTCCCCTACTCACTCACCTCTCTCCCTTTTTAGTTTGTTTTTTGTATAATGAGCATAATAAAAAGAACAAAGAATCAAAAAACAATTCAAGAATTCATTATTATATTTCATGAGAATGAATAAAATAAAACTATACATGAGGAAAGCCGCTTGCAATGAAAATTGCATGTGCGGTTTGGGAAGAGGTTCATTATTGCATTTCCTTCTTCATTGCCCCCCTCCGCCCTGTCCCGATGCCACCATCTCAGAACTGGTGCCCGATCCTCCTTCCCCCAGCAGTCCGCTTTCCCCATCCTCTTCTCTCCTTGTCATGTGTCCCTCACCTCTCTCTCTCTCTCTCTTCCCCTGCTTACCCACGCCTCTCTCTCCTCCGTCGGGATCCCTCTCCAAGCTCCATACTCCTCCAATACTAAATGTGCCCCTCCGGGCGGACACGTGTATGTCCTTTCCTCTCCCTCCTTTCTTTCTTTTTTTTTTTTTTTTTTTTTAGGTATTAAATAATGGTATATTTCACTTGCGCCGTAAAGCTCTCCCACTTGTTCTCCACCTCTCAAGTCATTTCACAGAGTCGAACTCGAGTCCTTATCTTTTTTCTTTTTTTTTTCTTTTTGTTTTTTGAAAACAAAAACTCCAATCTATATTCGTGGGGGAGCAACACGTGCTGGGAACCGGGCCCAGAGTCGAAATAGAGTCAAGCTCAACAAGGTCTTCTTTTCCCGCTTACTCCTCGCAAAACCCCTTTCCTCTCTTTCCCTTTTGTTGTTCGCTCTCTCTTTCTTTGTCCTCTCTTTATTTGCTCTCTCCATCCCCTTCACATTCCCATTTACCCTATCCCTCCCGTAATTCAGGCCCGTCGTCATTATCCTGCTCTCTCCTTTCCTTACACACCCTCTTTTCATCACCCCCCTCTGCAATGACCCCCTCTTCCTGCCTCACAATCTCTTCTTCCCCACGTTTGTCTGGATCCCCCTACACGACCTGCAGTCCTTCCCCTTGTTGCCTTGACGTTGACGTCCTTCACTATGCACTGCGTGAGTTAAATTCATCCTCCTCACCCTGATTAGCGGAGGACATACCGACCTCCTACTCCTCCTCCTCCTCCTCCTCTCGATCTCACATCATGATCGCCCTCCTCCCAGTCCGCGCTACTCATGCCCCTTTTTTTTTTTTTTTTT